AAAAAGAATGGCTAGCAACAATGAATCAAATACTTAACAATACTGGTGAGGCTGTGGGGAGAAAAGAATCCTCTCCATTTTTCGTGGGAGTGTAATTTGAGACAATCACTATGGAGTGTAATATACAGCACACTTGAAAAACTAAAACTAGAGGTCCCAGTTGACCCAGTTATTCCCCCTCTAAGTATCTACATGTATCCTCAAGTTTATAGCAGCATAATTTATAGTAACTAAATTTTGAAAACAGTACATGCCCAATCAATAGATGGATGGATAAAGAAAATGTGGCACTTGTATACAATGGGGTACTATTTACCCATTTTTTTTTTGAGACAGGGTCTCATTATGCAGTTCAGGCTGGCCTTCAGCTCGCTTTGTAGTCCTGGCTGGCCTCTAACTCATAATGATCCTCCTGCCTCAGCCTCCCGAGTGCTGGGATTACAGGCATGCACCACCGTGCCCAGCTATTCAGCCATTAAGAAAGATAAACTTGAGATATTTTTAGGTAAATAGATGTATCTGGAGACCATAATCTTAAGTGAAATAAATCACACACACACACACACACACACACACACATACACACACACTCCATGCATTTAACTATTGCATTGTTTCTCTTGTGTGAGAAATTTAAAGCATAAATAAAGAAAATGGGCGGCAAAATGGAGAATAGACATTAAGAAGTAGGAAGAACTTTTTCAAATGGGAAAGAAAACAAGAGGTGGGAGAAGAAGGGAGACAAAGGAAGGGAAAAGTGATTTAAAGGTAAAAGAAAGAATTGAAGGAAAAAATGGGACTAGAGCTTTTGTGAATGAGGAGGGGAAGAAGGGAAGGGTGGGAGGGGAAGAGGAGAATAAAAAAAAGCATTAGGGCCACCCCATTTGAGACCCCTCCTGGAAATCCAAGAGCTATTTTCCTTCTCTTTATTTCCAATAAAAAGTCTCCTAACCTCCAAAAAAATTAAGATTGTTATGTGTGTATACACATCCCAAATGATGAATGTGATCATTATGTTCCATGAACAAGTACTAAAAAAAGACAGGCTCAAAATGAAACTTAAACAGTATCTAGAATATATAAAGATTTCTCCAAAATACCAAAATATGACCCATCATAATGAATAATAGACCACAATAGACATTTCTTAAGAAAATATGACCAACAGGTACACAAAAAAATGCTGAGGGTCACTAATCATCGGAGAGCTATTAATCAAAGCCATAATAGAGTATCACCTCACTTCATTAAGAAGGGCTATTATCCAAAACATGAAAGGCAGCAAATGCTGGTGAAGATGTAGAGAAAGGGGCACTCATACACACTGTTAGTGGGAATTTGAATTAGTATAAGTGTTATGCAAAAAAAGTTCCTTAAAAAATTAAAAATAAAGGCTAGATGTGTAGTTCATATATATACTATTTACCTATATACACAAGTCCCTGGGTTCAACCCTTAGCACTACAAATTAAAATAAAAATCTACTAAGTCATTCATCAAGTCTGCAACTAAGTATATATCTGAAGGAAATGAATCAGTGTGCTGAATAGACATTCTCCTGTGTCTATTCACCACAGACAAGAAATGGAATGACTAAAGTGTTTAGTTGATACTAATAAATGTGTGAAGAAAATGCACATATACACAATAGAATGCTATTCAGCCATAAAAGTGAAGTCCTGTAATTTGTGACAACATGAACAGAACTGGAGATTATGTTAAATGAAATATATTATGCATAGAAAGATAAGAACTGCATGATCTCACTTACACTGTATGTGGAATCTACAAAAGATGAACCACAAAACTGAGAGTGAAATGGTATTTACCAGATGTTTATGGTTATTAGAGTAGGAGCTTATCATAGTTGTAACCAGAGCAGGGGGGAAAGTTGATTAATGGGTACCAAGTTATAGTTCAATAGGCTTAAGAAGTTCTGGTGTGCTATGGCACTGTAAGGTGAATGTAGACAATAATTATATAATGAATATCTCAAAAAGTAGAAGAAAAGATCTTATATGTTTACATTATAAAGAAATGATAAATGTTTGAGGAAATTTAGTTTGATTAAAATATTTTGTGTAACATGTACATGTATGAAAACATCACACCTTATTAATTCATAGTTGTATGTATCAATTAAATTTAGAAGGTTTTGGGGTTAGTTATATAGTAAAAAGAGTACTAACAAATATGGAAATAAAATTAAAATAAGGTTGAAATATCAATTAATACATATTTGAGTGGCCTAAATAAAATCAAATCCACTTCTTGCAGATGGTTATATAGAGAAGTGTTTCTTGGGCTGGGGATTTAGCTCAGCGGCAAAAGCGCCTGCCTGGCAAGCACAAGGTCCTGAGTTCGGTTCCTGGTACCGGAGAAAAACCAAAAAAAAAAAAAAAAAAAAAAAAATAGAGAATTGTTTCCTCACTAAATTCATGGTGAAAGTTTCAATTTTAATACTCTTTCTGGAAAGCAATCTGTAAATATCTTTTACCATTATAAATCCATCCATATTTAAACAAGAAATCTCAATTCTGAGACTTTATTCCAAGTAAACAAATATATCAATATCTAAGAATATACACATGGATACATTTAGTACTATTTAAAAAACTAAAAAACCTCAATCTTTTATAGGAATAATGATTGAACAGAGTACACTAAGCCTATGTTCTCATTAAAAACAATAAACCTATTTTATTTTCACATATATAAGGATTTCCCAAAGATATTGTTGGGTAAAAACATAAGATGAAAAAATAAATAAAAAGCATGCTTACAACTGTTCAAGGCACCATATTACAGTGATACATGCATATCCATGTTTATAGCAGCACAATTTATGATAGCTAAATCTTGGATGCAGCATATATGTCCATGAACAGATGAAGAAAGCAAATGTGGTATTTATGCACAGTGGAGCACTGATTCAACCATAAATAAGGATAACTTAAATCATTTGTAGGAAAATGGAGCTGGGTGTGGAGGCACATGAGTGTCATTCCAGCACTCGGGAAGCTGAGGCAGGAGGATCGCTGTAAGTTCAAGACCAGCCAGTGCTACACAGTGAGTTCAAGGCCAGCCTAAACTGTACAGCAAGACCATGCCTAAAAAAAAAAGAAAATGCATGCACCTTGAGACCATAATGTTAAGTAAAATAAATCAGACACATGAATTTAAATATCACAATGCTTTTCTGAATATAAATAAATAAATACTATAACTAAAAAGCAATATAAAAGCTATATAATGGAAAGGAGGGAGATAACACTTTCTTACATGGGAAGGGGATCAAGAGATGGAGGGCTGGGATGGGAGGGTTCAAGAAGAATTAAGATATATTATGTACATACACCAGCTCCCCAGAAGGAATGTAACCATTAAATACTGCAAATATGTACTGCTAATAAATGAAAACAAACAAAAACTATTCTAGGAATTTAGATACTTATTTTATGTATTTGTAATCTTTTACCTTCCTTGGCAAAGGGTGACAAATTGATCACTTTTGTTGGAAATTTATTTGGTGTAGCTTGCTTAGCCTTGGTACCTTCTTGAAGCTGCATGGATATATCTTTGTTTTTAAGTAAATTCACACCTAAAATAAAATTTAAAAAGAAAATTTGCATAAATATTCTGACTATTCACATACTGTGCTCCACATTTGGCATATCAGTTTTTATTTCTGCATGTATATTTTTCCCCATATCCTATTGAATGGCCACTAATGATGAAAACTACAGTTTTTCATCATTTTCTCTCTTGTCTTCATTCTGTGTCCAGTGATAGCATCTTCCTTAATTTTTTTTTTTTGAGACAGTCTCACTATGTAGCACATGCCGGCCTTGGACTCATGCTGATCCTCCTGCCTCAGCTTCCCAAGTGCTGAGATTACAGGCATGTGCTACCATGCTGGGTTCTTAATTTTGTTCTTTACCACAGGCCCACTTTACTTTGGGCTACATATTCATTTCTGCATTTGATCTGTAGGGTACATTTAAAAGGATACACTTAGAAAGATAGTTTTAAAGAGCAAATCTTTGTATGTAAGCCACTGAATCCCCCCTGCCTCAATGCAAATGATACTTGTTAAATTTCTTTAAAAATACTATGTTATGAAAATAATAGATGTTATTGTAGGAAACATCTACTTAAACTGAGAATTATATACCTCATATTCTATAGTCATTGGCTAGAGAATATCATGAAGCCAGAGGTTGAGAGGTTCAGCATGAGTTGTAGGTAAAGACTACGGAGAGAATAAATTACTGTTGAAACAATTTATTTGAGAAGCCATGGCTTGTGACAGCCATTCACATTTATAAAATGGTAAACACTAGGGAGAATCTGTAAGAACTAATAGAAAATTTAAAATATGTTAGGGGGATGAGTTTACATCATCAAATTTATGTATATTCTGTATATTATTTTCATGAAAATGTATGTGCAAAATTGTGTGAAAATATTTTGATACACTTTGGTATGAGGTAGAATGCAGTTGGCTTGCATAGGAGACTATTCCCAAGGACCTCTAATTTCAAGAGCTAAAATTCCAAATTAAAACATATTTTAATAGTATTAATTTGATGTCATAAAAATATATGCTACAGACCAGAAATGAAGAAAAAATTTAACTTGATAATTTTAGCCCCAAACATCTTGGGTATGTGGTGTATATTTTTTATAAAATATAATTGACATAGAATAATGTAGGAGATAAGTGAGAAAAATATGTAGAGGATTGACCAATGAAAGAAAAATAAAAAACAGAGGGGACAACAAAAATTTTGGAAAATACTTGTGCAGAACATTATTATATATAGCTTATAATTTCAGATGATAAAATCTGAGAAAGGAGGGAATGAAATTATGACAGTGTAGAAAGGGAACAATAAATACATTGTTTGTTTATATCAATCTTTGCTAGGGTCTGAGTGTGTCTCCCCAAATTCATATGCTGAGATCTAATTACTCTGGAATGGTGCAGGATATGGGGTCTTTAACAGCTAATTAAATCACATGGGCCCAGCTCTCATGAATTGGATTAGTGTGCTCATAAAAGAGGTCCCAGGGAACTGCTGTGCTCCTTGCACTATATGACTGTAAGTTTCCCCACAGTCAAAATAGTAAGAAAAAGCTTTCACTCTTTACAATATACTTCCCAGCAAAACGTATTTCTTTTATAAAAGATAGCTTTTATATATTTTTTGAGTTTATCTAAGTAACTAGATATATGGTTATACATTATTTTTTTACCTTCATTTTCCACAAACAATTTTGTTGGTAGTTTACTTAGTGCAGGGTGCTTGTTACTAATATCTTTTTGATGTTGTATGAACATATCCTTGTTTTTCAATAAACTCACACCTAAAATAAAATTTAAAAACAAAAGTCATATAAGGACACTATGACTTACTTACGCATTATTCTCAAGTGGCATATGTTAGTCCTTATTTGTAATTTTCTTCCCACATTTTATAAAGTTCCTGCTTGCCTACTATTCCAAAATCTATTTTTAAATTTTTTTTTTTTTTTTGAGACAGGGTCTCGCTACGCAGTTCAGGCTAGCCTTGAGGTCAAGTTGTAGCCCAGGCTGGACTCAAACTCACAACAATCCTCCTGCCTCAGCCTCCCGAGTGCTGGGATTACAAGTGTGTGCCACCACGCTCAGCTTATTCCAAAATCTAAAAAGTATTTTTATCCTTTCCTCTTCCTTGCCTTTTGTTGTGCTCCTTCATTCTATGTAGTCCTTACTTTTGACCTTTATCCAAACCCCAATTTGGTTTTTTTTTTGGTACCGGGAATCCAACTCAGCACCTTGCACTTGCCAGGCAGGCATTGTGCCACTGAGCTAACCCAATTTGTTCTGAATAAGAATATTCATTCTTGTATTTGATTTGGAACTTCTTTTCAATTTTTTCCTCTTTTGAATTTCATCTTTTAAATTGTATCTAGAAATTTTTCATTATAACTTTATCATACAAAAATTAATTAACACAATGGTTCTTAATAGGCATTTTATTTTAAATTCATTTGGTTTAAATGGGAGCATTTCATTGCTGTGTCTAAGGTTACTATTCAATAATAACGAGGACTCACATTTTTAGCAACTGTGAATCAGAAATTGAAGTCACCTACATAAAAATACCCTGAAAATTAAAAATATGCTCATCATAGCCACTGACTATCTTAGAGTAAGACAAAAGATCATGAATGCTTGGTTCAAATAATTTTGTTTTTTAAACACTAGCTTCCCTCATTTATAAAATGTCTGGGTAAATATACAGTAACTAATTTATTTTTCAGTAATAAAAGTGAGACTATATTGACATAACTACAGCATTGAAAACCAAAGTTATGGAAATCTTGCCTTGAGTTTAATTTGAATAGAAACATGTATTTTGTGCTTATATCTCAAGGTAAAGACTCTTTGGTGAAGCCCCACTTTCCTGGTTCACAGACTGCTCCTAGCTGTGGCCTCACAAGGAGGCAGGGGGAAGCTCCACCTCTGGGACCTCTTTTTTGAGGATACTGTTATGGCTTGTACCTAGATGTCCCCTCAAAGTCTCATGGGCTCATACATAGGGCTTTTCAGAGCTGGTTGGGTCTAGGGTGTGTGACCCCGGGATTAAGGGTGTGTACAAACTAGTCCACTGATTGGAATCAGCATAGTTCTGGATGTGGATCACGGAAGCCCCATGTTGGGTGTGAGTGGCACCAATCAATAGGTTTGCAGCCTGGTGGAACATAAAAGGAGGCTTGCTTTTGCTGCTTACTGCTTTGTGGCTGTCTTGCCATGGATTATTTCTCCTCAGTGATGCCCCTCTGCTGTGTCACCCTGCCTTTGAGTCAGTCAGCTACAAACTGAAACTTCTACAAACTGTGAGTTAGAATAAACCTTTTCTCCTTTAACTTGTAGGTGTCAGGTATTTGTCTCAGCAACTGGAAAAGTAAGTAAAACAGGCAGCAATCACAAATTCCAAATTCTAGCTTTCAGAATCAACTCAGACAAAAGTTCATTACTATAGTCTTTCTAGGATCAAAGAGAATTGAGTGTAATATTGTTACCCTGCAACTAAAAATGGTAGTGTAATCTGTAAGCAATAGTATACAACTACAGGACTTTATTGCAGGTAAGACTTCATAAATTTGTATGCCAGTTTAACTATTTACCGGGAATTGGCAACCAATGAAATAACTGTCATAGTGTTCTTGTCATCATATTCATAAGTCAGTATTTCTGCTTTGCAAAGTCAGTGCAACTGTTCAACGTATGGCAGAGCCAGAAAACAAGTAGAATAGCATTGGAAAGACTTCCATTAAATATATTCCAAGATCATTAGAGAATTCAATTTTTATGGATTATTTTCTAGAGGAAAATTAAAGGTAATTAATTGTCTAGCTACTGTCCCATGATAATGTATGCTAGACTGTAAGTATAGGCACATATTAATGAAGAATTTTATCTATGTAGTACTTAACATATAGATATTATTGTGATTGTAGATCCATACTTAACTCCAGTAATAGACATATAACATAAACATTAGGCTTGCATACTCCTGGTTCTTACCAGGAAGAATCTTTAATTGTGTTGTCATTGGCCCCTTTATTGTACTTTCACCAACAATATCTGCCAAGCGTTCTTTGTCAGTATCTATAGAATTAAAAAAAGATTTTAAAAATTGATCAGAAGAGAAAAAAGAAAGTCACTACAAATTGTCAAAAATCCAATTCAACGAGAAGAGACAAAAATTGTAAATATATATGCACAGATGCTGGTGAATCAAATTAATAAAACAAATTCTACCAGGTATAAAATGTCAGATGAACATCAACACAATGAATAAAGATACATATATATAATATATTTATTATATATATAAAAAATATATATATATATATTTTACTCTGCCATAAAGAAGGATAAACTTGAGACATTTTTTGGTAAAGGAGTGAACCTTGAGACCATACTCTTAAGCAAAATAAATTGGACACACATATTTAAATAATGCATTGCTTCTCTGGTGTTGTAGGGAACCTCTTTGGTCTCTTATTGTACCCTAGTGGAATCTGATGTAACATGAGCCTGAGGGAACTGTTTTCTCTGCAAGTCTTTCATGAATTGAAACTACTTCTGTTATTGCAGAAAGATGTGTAACTACTTCTGTTATTGCAGAAAGAACTACTTCTGTTATTGCAAAAAGCTGTGTAGACAGTAGAGATGTGGGGCTTACTCTCTATGTTTATTCTGACACTGGGAAGTGAACCCTCTGTGAGTTGTGGATTTCTTCAGGTACTGTTACCGACTCTTATTTGAAAGTAATTCTGCTAATGTCGCAAGTGTGTTAATAGGCATGGATCTTTAATACTGTTTAGACACTAGTGCAGCTCCAGTTGTTTCAGCAGGAGAGGCAGGGACTGGGGTCACAGCTCACCTGCGGCACTCATCTTCAGATGTGATCTACTGTTTCAGCACATGCAATCTGAAAGAGTGTGGGAGCAATTGATGCCTACCTCCTTTATAAGTGTGGTGGCTGCATGGCTTATTTTTTTCTCTCTACTGTTGTTATTGTCATCAGTATCCAGGAGTGGGCCCTTGGAACTCTCTCTTTAGTATTGCTAATTGGGGATTAGTTGTTGGTTTGAGGCTTTAATCTTTCTATTACTTAAGGTTAAGCATCCACCAAGGTTCAAGCAGGACTATGGTGTGGCTTGAGCAAGGTGAAATTCCTCTCAGTCTGGAAGTGAGACTCAGCAGTGGAGCATCTACTCAACATGTTCAAGTTGCCAGGCTTGATCCCTACCCTTCAAGGATAAAAAGAAATAAAGAAAGAAACCAAACCAAACAATACTATGAGTAACACCATCAATAGCCACAAGGAAAAGAAAATGTAGATTAAAATAAAAATTTAAAAAATAGACTAAAAGCAATGAAAGAAATAAAAGGGATAAAAATAGTAATAGAAAAGTAAAAATTTATTCTACAAGCATCAATACAGAAAACAAAGTAAAATAAAAATAGAAAATAGAAAATGACAAGACAAGAAGCACAATGCAACTCCAAATGCCCAGTCCACTCATGACAAGTCCAGGGCACAAAGAGATAGAGGAAACCAGAAGCCAACCACTGGAACTCTCTGAAATGATAGCAGCGTAAGTGAAAAAACAAATGGAAGAGGCCATAGAAAAAATAATTTCTAAAGTGCAAAAAGAAATGATGACCAAAATGAAAGACACTAAAGCAGACACAGATTAAAAAAATAGAGACACAAGAAAATGATGGAAACCATGAATGCCTAACATAGAAAAGAAATGGAATCAATGAAACAGGTCCAAACAGAAATCTAGGAGATTAAAAATTGTACTGAAATTATACTCAACAGATTAAGGTGAGGACAGACTACCCGATCTAGAAGACATGATTGTGGCTAGTGACCAGGAAAAGAAAGATACCTTTAAAACAGCAAGAGACCATGAAGAATCAATGTAACAACTACAAGATGAAGCAAAGAACAACATAAGATAAATTGGAGTAAGTGAGAAAGCTGGAGACTGCACAAGTTATAAAAAATCTCTTCACAGAAATAATGGCAGAAAACTTCCCAAACATGGATAAAGACTTTGACATACAAATAAATGAATCATGCAGAACTCCAAACAGCCATGATCAAAATAAATGTATATCAAGAATGCCTCTTTTCCCCCACACAGCAGTCCTGTCTCCACTACATAGAACTCTCAGTTTAGGAGTGTCTCCCTGAGCCAAAATGACCCTGGAGGCTGACAGCTGCTGAGCCAGTAAAGTAATACTGCTGTGGGGTTCCAGAGACAGGAAAATATATGGGATCTGGGTTGAGGAAAGCTGCTCACCTCGTGGCAGCCAGAAAACAGTGACAACAGAAAGAAGTTGAGGAGGGAGACGTAGTCTCCAAAGGCATCCCTCCAGTGACTCACCCTCTTCTAACCAGGCCCTACATCCTAACAGCACGTTAGCTATGAACTGATCATTGGATCAGTCTGCTGGTGAGTACAGCACTACTATGACCAATCACCTTCTAGAAGCTCCACCTTTGAACATATGAGACTTTTGGAGAACATACTACATAAAGCATAAGACTCTCCAAAGTTTTATTTTGTTGTGATTTTAAACCTCACTATCATTTTTAACTGATACTTTTGCTCAGTATGAGTCTTGCTTGAATTTTTTTCTTTCAATTCTCTGAACATGCCATCCCATTGAATTTTGAATGCCATAGTTCACAGTTTACTGGCCTTCCTCTTAAATTATGAATTATTTTTCTCTTCCTGCTTCCACAATTTGTCTTTTTCTTTTAACATTATTATTGTTAGTGTTTTTTTGTACCAGGAATTCAACTCATGACATCACACTTGCCAGGCAGGCACTGTGCCACTGAGCTATATCCCTAGCCCTAGTTTTTGTTTTTTGAGACAAGATCTTGCCATGTAGCTCAAGCTGGCCTTGAACTCACTAGTGCAGGCTGACCTCGAAATGTGGAAATCTTCCTGCCTCTGCCTCCTGAGTGCTGGGGCTACAGGTGTGTGCCACCATGCCTGACTAACATTACTTTTAATATAAGTGTGGCTGTAGCCTTCTTTGTGCTTCTTTTACTTAGGCCTCATTGAGTTTCAATGTGTGGATTAACAGACATCAAATATTTAACAAATTTTTTTAGCTATTACTTCTTCAAATATATTTCTGTTCTTCTCTCTGCCATTTTTTTGTTCTGAGGCTTTTCTTTTTGCATTGAAAATCTACTACTGAGACATACTAGCGAATTTTCTTTGGCAGTTATATTCTTTTCAAATCTTGAATTCAGATTTATTTTCTTCTAAAGTAGTTTGTCTTTGCTGATATTCTATGTTTGATCAGACATTGTTGTGAACTGAATCATGTCTCCCCATAAATCATATTTTGTAGTTTTAATCTCTGATGTAAGTATATTTGGATATAAGGCCATTAACGAAATAATTAAAGTCAAATGAAGTGATAGAGGTGGGATTCTTACCTCCGTATAGTGCTGGTGTACTTAAAATAAAAGGGGGAAAGGCCTTCCTTGGAGATTGTGCCTTCTCATTTTCCCTCCCTCTTTCAATTCTCCTTCTTTCCTTCCCACTCTGTATGTGTGTGTGTGCATGTGTGTGTGTGCATGTGTGTGTGTGTGTGTGTCCTTCACTCCCCTCCCTACAAAAAAGAGGCCACATGAGAAGGCAGCTATGTACAGACAGAATAAGAGGACTCACCACAGACCAACACTGACAGCCCTTTCATCTTGGACCTCTAGCCTTCAGAACAGTGAAAAGATAAATTCTGTTGTTTAAAGGCACCCAGTATGGCACAAGTTCTTCTGGAAAACTGAACAGCTAATACAGACATTATTTCATATAATCTGTTTAAACGTGGCTTCCTTTAATTTTTTGAACATACTTATAAGAGATGTTTGCAATTTTTGACTACTAAATCCAGTATCTGGACTCACATAAACATTTTTATCACCTGTGTTTTTTCTGTAAATGGATCACATTTGTTGTTTCTTTGAATGACTCATAACTTTAACAAAAACCCTGGATATTTTAGATAATATAGTTAAGCAAACACATACCATTCAAGGGCTTGGAGTTTCTTTGTTTAGCAATTATGTAACCATTTTATTAAAGACTCTCTTCCTAAGAAAAAGAGAGGCCACTAATATTGTTCCCCAAGACCACAGCCTTGAGGATGTACACTGGCACCTTTGGAGCAGAGCAGTCTTTCCTTGTCTTTTCCTTCTTTCCACCTTCCCTATTTGAATGGATGAGTTTTAAAGCTAATAATATCTGTGTTTCATTGAGAGTAACTATTGCAATTCTTCTAAGTATAGGAGAGAATTTATAAAGACTTTATGGGTACAACTCTCAAAGAGGATGCTTATTTAATTTAATCACAGAGAAACTAAATTAACATCAATAGTGAAGTTTAAAAAATCCTTGTTCTTACCTGGTTGACTCTCTAACTGTGGCCTGTCTGACCCCTTTATTATACCTCTTGTAATAGCATCTATCAAGGGTTTTATATTAAAATCTGTAAAAATAAAAGAGATTTTTAATACTTTGGAAGATAAACTCTAACATATATCTGTCTCTGTGTATGTTGGCATTGTGTGTGTGTGTGTGTTTGTGTGTAGTAATAATCTAATTATCATGTTGTTAGGGAGGCAAAATTCTTTTCAAAGATCTGATTTACAGAATCATTAACTCTTAGAATTGGAAGCAGTTTTAGTAATCATGTCTACCTCGTTTCATTGAGGTATAGAGAAGTTTAATTATTTGAACAAAGCCTTGTACCCAGGTAGTGATAAAACTGTTACAGAAATCAGTATCTCCGATTTTGTTAACCAGTGCTTTTCTTATAAAATGGCTACCTTTTACACAAACTGAAATCATTTTAGACAGTTTATGAGAATACAATTCTCAAGTTTACATTAAAAGCACAACAGGCAAACCGTGAGTTGGAAAATAATTTTATTCACAGATCAACTTGTGTAAATCATAGGCTTTATAGTCACAGAAAGTTAAATTTTAGGTTATATCACTATAAATTAAGTGACAAGAGTGACGGAAAAGAATAACAGTAATCTTGTAAAGTAAAAAAATGCCCTCTCTTGGTCATAAGATGAGATTTATAGCTGGAAATGGGTAGATTTGCATTAGTACCAACAGTGGGATAGGATGCCCTTGAATTTAAGTTTTTATGTGATTTGAACTTTTTGAGCTATTGCAGCAGTACCCATCCTTTTTGACACCAGAGTCCAGTTTTATGGAAGGGAATTTTTTCATGGACTTTTTGGAGGGGGAGCAGTGCAGTTTCAAACTAGACTGTCATAGGAGAGTACAGCCTAGATCCTTCCCATGTACAATCCATAGTAAGGTCCATGTTCACATGAGAATCTACGGCTGCTGCTGCTCTGACAGAAGGTGCAGAGTAGGCAGTAATTTGAATAACTGGGAGCAAAGTTGTAAACACAGATAAAGTTGCTCACCTCCTGTATGGCCAGGTTCCTTACAGGCCATGGATCTATAGTAGTCTGTGGTTCAGGATTTGGGGACCCCTTATTGACAGTAGCTTTTTCAAATATTTCCCTTACCAACTTCTTTTGAGTTCTGTTTGCAGCTTTTAAAAATTACACTCAATCATTAACACATGTAAATTAATTAGCCCAGTGGTTCTTAATGGACATGATATTATTAATTAACTAATTTTAAATGGGAAAATTTTATTGGTGTGTCTATGCTTCTTATATACTAAGTAGCTCTGGATTAAAAAGTAATTTAAGGTATGTGAAACAAAAATACCTTGAATATTAGAGACAGAAAAATGACTCATCATAACTTACCAAATATTTTAGCGTGGAACACAACACAAATATGAATGCTTCATTCAGACAATTTCATTTTATCAACCTTAGCTTTTCCTCAGATATAAGCTCTTGGGGTAAATATATCTTTTTGATTTATTTTCCATGATTCCTCTATTTTCAGTAGTAAAATTGTGACTATTCTGATGTTTAATGCAGCACTAAAAACTGAAGTTTTAGAAATCTCGCCTTGAGTTTAAATTCCAAAGCAAAGGTAAAGTCTGGTGCTTGTTTTTGAAGATTAAGCTACATACCTTCACATTTGGTGCTAGTAAATTTGGTATTTCGTGAGGGCCCATTTTTTGCTTCATTATACAGGGCCTTCTACCTGTGTCCTCACAAGCAGGCAGGGATGAGACAGAGATCTGGAGCTTTTTTTCTGAGAGTACCAGTCCAAGATACCAAGCTCTAGCTTTCAGAATGAACTCAGACAAAAATTTGTAACTGTAGTCTTTCTAGGATCAAAGAGTGTCTACTATTGTTCCTCTGGGAATAAAGACCATAGTGTTACCTGCAAAAAATGCTGCGCAACTGAAGGACTCTAACATAGGATGGGTATGACAAATGTACATCAGATTAACCACCAAGCAGGAATCGGCAATCAGTGGAATAACTTACTGTAACAGTACTCTTCTTATCCCATTTCTGCTTTTTCAAATGCAAAGCAACTTTTCTGTTTAAACCAGAACCAGAAAGTGAATAGAATGGCATTGGAAAGACTTTTTTTTTCCTTGGGGTACTGGGAATCAAACTCAGGACCTCACACTTGCCAGACAGGTGTTATGCCACTGAACTAAATCCCTGGCCCTTGGAAAGTATATCAAGTATATAACAAGATTACTAGAACACTGGATTTTTGTCCTATTTCCTAAAGAGACGAGTTTAAAACTAATAAGATCTAGCTAATGTTCCACTGATAAATGTAAGAATTCAACAATTTTTAAGAGGACATTCACAAAGACTTTTGTTCATCTAAATACTGTAATCATTAAAGATCCATTCTTAATCCCCAGACAAGATGAAAAAATAAACATCAATATTGAAAAATAACTGTTCTTACCAGGGTGACTCTGTGGTTGTGTCTTCATCCCACCAAATACTTTACCTCTTCTGAATACATTTGTCAAGTGTTCTGTATCAGTTTCTAAGGATAGAAGATAGATCTCACAACACTGTCTAAGATGACCATTAATGTTATGTTTTGGTTCTATTAAAAAATTATCTCTGTTGATATCTGTCTTGGTTACTTTTTTCTCGTTGCTGGGACAAAATACCTGACGCCCAAAATTAAGGAAGGAAAGGTTTATTTTGCTTACATTTTGTGGAATTTTCAATCCGTACCTGGCAGATTACAAGGCAGACTGGCACATGGCAGAGAGCTAGGGCTCATGGCGGCAGAGCACAGCAAAAGCAACCACCACACACACCAGGGCTGAATGGGGGAGGAATGGCCTCAAGCACTCTTTTCCTCTCCCTTACATATGCAAACTATCCACCCCAGGGTGGGTGTAGCTCTCACACCCACAATCAATCAACTCTAAAAGCCTGCCCCATGGCCGCATGAGGCTTTGGGGGGACACACAGACAAACCATAACAATATCCTCAATTTGATAAGACATTTTCATCATACGTTTCTTTTTTCCCCTCACATCATTTTATTAGTGTATATTGGTTATATAGATTAACAGGACTCATTTTGGCAGATTAAAAAACACACATCACTTACTTGAATCATTTTTACCCCTCTTTTCGTCCCCTTACTTTAGAGGGAATTCGATGCTTCTAATATATTTTAATCATCTTCACCCCTCATTACCAGCCATTACACCCCTCCCCTTATGTTCTTCTTCTCGTCTGATCTGCCTTTTACTTTTTTAAGAGTGGCTTCCTTTCAGTTTAAAAGTACATGTTTAATAATAAGTGCTTTGAAGTCTGTGTCAGCCACGCTCAATACCTGGGACTCACAAACAGTTTTTGTGGCATGACTTTTTTCTTAGCTCACATTTTAGTTTCTTTTCATATTAACAATATTTTTTAGAGATTTAAAAGTTTAGAGGGTTTACTATAGCATCTCTACTGATTTCTCCATCCTCTATCTGAAGCCTGCCATCATTGCCTCCTTATTTATTTGTTTAATGATGGGTCTGCTTTATTGCACTGAAGCATACAGCAAAAAGCTTCTATTGCTGTTCTGCCAAGAGCAAAGCCTTGAATACTTCTGCACGGCAGTGGTTTTAGCAGGTTGTCCTTGAGGGTCTTTCTCCCTTATTTCTCTGAGTCTTGGAATCACATCAAAGATTACAGAAAATTTATCTAGTCCTGTCACTCAAAGATGAAAAGTAGTAGTGTAATCTTTGAATACAAATGAAGAACTAAAGGTACAGATTATACATTTCCCCGGCATTTTCATGAAGTACAGAGTGACTCATTATAAAAGAACAAGTCTGGACATCCCATGGTCTCTTGCTTCCTCTCTTTCCATGTGCCTTTCTCATTATGTGATGATTGTGTGATGTTGTGAGAAAGCCAGAAGACCCTCACCAAGGCCAATCAGATCAGGTTGCCTGAGTTTAGCTTTTCACCTCCAAAATGTGTATGATAAATACACATCTTTGCTTTATAAGGTTCTCAGTCTCAGATATTTTGTTATTTTTAAAATGTTTTTGGTTTTCTCAGGGTAGGATCTCACTTTGTAATCCAGGCTGGCCTTGAACTCATAGCAGTCCTTCTGCCTCAGCCTCCCTAGTGCTGGGATTAGAGGCATGTGGCAGCACACCCAGCTCAGATATTTTGTTATAGCACCATAAAACAGACAAACACATTCCAATGATTTAATTATCTGTTACATTTGTGTTCTCCCCACATTCATTAGCTAGACTTTCTGCTTTTGCAAACTCTGTACTTGTCTACAAATACAGAGTGTAATGGCACTGGAAATATTGTATATCTAACAAACAAGGTTTGTACCTATAATAGACAAGGTCATCGAGCACTGGATTTTATTCATTACTTTATAAATACATTAGCTTTAAAACTAAATTAGCTTTGTGTAGATTCAATGCAACTCCCATTAAACTACCATTAGCATACCTCACAGATCTCGAGAAAACATGCCTTAAATTCATCTGGAACCCGAAGGAACCCAGAATAGCAAAAGCAATCCTGGGCAACAAGGATAAGTCAGGTGGAATCATAATCCCTGACCTGAAATTATACTACAAAGCTACTGTCATAAAATCCACCTGGTACTGGCTAAAAAACAGACCTGAGGGTCAGTGGAACAGACTGCAAGAAACAGCCACAACGGAAAACACACTTAGCCACCTAATCTTTGATAAAGGGGCCAATCAAACTCACTGGAAAAATGATAGCCTCTTTCATAACTGGTGCTGGAAACATTGGCTTGCTACCTGCCAAAGACTGAAAATAGACCCAAGCCTATCACCATGCACCAAACTCAAGTCAAAATGGTTCACAGATCTCAATATTAAAAGAGAAACACTAAATCTATTAGGAGAGAAAGTAGGTAAAAACCTTGAAGACATAGGGGTAGGCAGAGAGTTTATGAACAAAAACCAAATGGTACATGAAACATTTGAAAGAATCAACAACTGGGATCTCATCCTACTGAAAAGTTTCTGCACATCTGAAGAAATCACCAGCAGAGTCAAAAGAAAACCCACAAACTTGGAAAAAATTTTAGCTGACTGTCCCTCAGACAAAGGGCTTTTATCTAGAACATATAAAGAATTAAAAAATATCAGCCCCCCCAAATTTAAAGACCCAATCCAAAAATGGGCAGCTGAGATGAATACACACTTCTCAGATAATGAAATACAAGTGGCAAATAAATACATGAGAAAGTGTTCAACATCATTAGTCGTTCGAGAAATGCAAATTAAAACAACGATGAGATTCCATCTCACCCCAGTAAGAAAGGCTAGCATTAAGAAATCAACCAATAACAAATGCTGGTGAGGCTATGGAGAAATAGGAACTCTTCTCCACTGCTGGTGGGAATGCAGACTGGTGAAACCACTGTGGAAATCAGTTTGGAGATTCCTCCGAAAACTAGGTCCAGAGGTCCCATTCAACCCAGCTATTCCCCTGCTGGGTATTTTCCCAGAAGATCTAAAAACATCATATCACAGCGATATATGTGCACCTATGTTCATAGCAGCACAATTTGTAATTGCTAAATTGTGGAAGCAACCCAAATGTCCATGCACTGCGGATTGAATAGGAAAATTGTGTAACTTTTATATAATGGAATATTACTCAGCTATAAAGAAAGATAAACTCGAGGCCTTTATAGGTAAATGGTCACAACTAGAGACCATACTCATAAGTGAAATAAATCAGACCTGCATGTGCAAGCACCACATTGTCTCACTAGTGTAAAACCTGAAAGAGTTAATTTAAACTAGGAGGTATGATAGGCATTGTGAAATGATAGGAAAACACTCAAGGGTAAAGGGCAACTGGGATGTGGGGAAAGAGAAGGGAAAGAAGGAGAAATTTTGTATGTATGTATATACAGAATAGTTAACACAGTTGTTCTACTATCTTCTATTTCTTTGCTGAAAGAAACTGTCAATGAGTCCTTGATTGATCAATATTGCATGTCTCTATCTGTTTTTATGAGAAACCACTTTGAAGATATCAATATGTAATACAACAAGCATTGTTAATTTCCTACCACTTTGTTTGTAACTCTGTATTGTCTGTACTGCTCTTTTGTAAAATGTTGTCTGTCTGTCAGTTTTCCTCCTTTTATTTTTAAAATTAAAAAAAACTAAATTTGCTTTAAAATTAATGTGTTACTGATAGTATACTAGACTCTGACTAATTATAGTAGCATATTAATGAATAGTTTACCTCTGTAATACTAATATATAGTGTTGTTATCAGGGAAGATTCACATTTAATTTAACTCCAGAAATATACATGAAACATAAGACATGAATAATTTTTGTTCTTACCAGGATGCCTCTTCAATTGCGTCTTCATTGGCTCTTTCATTAAACTTTTTCCAATAATACCTCCCAAGGGTTTTGTGTCAGTCTCTATAGAATCAAAATAGATTTCAAAATACTTTATGATGTAACATTACCACATGTATGTGTGCTGTACTAAATTAAATTATCATTGTTATTTTAGAAAATAGTTCAAAACAATGTCTGGATTTGAGATTCACACCACCTTAGAACTAGAAAGTCTGTTAGCAACTACATAAACCCATTTACCTATAAAAGCCTCAAATTTATCTTTCTTTATAGCTGAGTAGTATTCCATTATAAAAAAATACCATGACCTTTTATCCATTCCTCAGTTGATGGGTATTTGGGTTGCTTCCATGATTTAGCTATTACAAATTGCACTGCTATAAACATGAGTGCACATATATCTCTGTGATATGGTATTTTTAGTTCTTATGGAAAAATACCCAAAAGGGAAATAGCTGGGTTGAATGGAACCTCTAGTCCTAGTTTACTGAGGAATTTCCAAAGTGGTTTCACCAGCCTACACTCCCACCAACAGTGGAGAATTCCCTTTTCTCCACACCCTTGCCAGCATTTGTTATTGGTTGATATATTAATGATAGCCATTCTTTCTGGGGTGAGATGGAATGTCAGTTTTATTTTAATTTGCATTTTTTGAATGATTATGTTGAACCTTTTTAACTGTATTTATTTACCATTTTTATTTCTTCATCTGAGAAGTGTGCATTCATCTCAGATGCCCATTTTTGTATGGGTCTTTGAATATGGGGGGTGATTTTAAAAAATTCTTTATATGTTTCTAGGTAGAAGAAGTTCTTTGTCTGAGGGACAGTTGGCTAAAATTTTTTTGCAATTTCTGGGTTTTCTTTTTACACTGCTGGTGATTTCTTTAGATGTGCAAAATCTTCTACACCACACATACATGTGGTAATGTTACATTATAAAGTATTTTGAAATCTGTTTTGATTCTATAGAGACTGACACAAAACCCTTGGGAGGTATTACTGGAAAAAGTTTAATGAAAGAGCCAATGAAGACGCAATTGAACAGTGAGGATTTTCAGTAATATGAGACCCCAGTTGTTGATTCTTTGAAGTATTTCCTGTGCAGTTTGTTTTTTGTTCATGAACTCTCTGCCTACCCAAGCTTTTGCTAGGGTCAACATTAGATTGGATCTCTTTCTATTTGACTTTTCATATGACTTAACCTTTCTGCTTAAAGTTAGCACTAGCCAATGACAGAAAAAACAAAATCAATTAACAAGGGAAAATTTGTATTATCTTGATCACTCATTGGGCTTGACGTTTTTGGTGAAATTTGGTTTTAGTAGAGCATATTACTGCACTTGGAAACCTGTAGTGATCAGATTAAAGTAGAAGTTTTGGTTTGGAGGAACTGCTGATTCCATGAATATATTTTAAGGCTGCACAATGACTATGTGTGCCAATAGTGTATAAAGGAGGGGACTGATTAGTGCATCTTCCCCAAAATACACAAAGATGCATAAGCCTGGCAAAATAAGTTCTGAATAATTATCAAAATTTTCCATAGTAACACAAAACTGTAACATTAGCAGATCTAGTTTAATTTCTCTGTATAATTTCTATTGATCTAATTGGTATAATTTCAATTCAAAAAAGTTCTGTAGATAAGCAATAATGTAATGAGGAGAGTGAGGACAGGCTTAAGCACTAAGAATCCTGCAAGGGTATGTGCTGTAGATATTTATGAACTTCTAAGAGTTACAGTTTTCCTTCTTCACATCTTATGACTGCTTTATTTCCTTTCTGATCTTAATTCTTGGATTTCATTAAGCTATTTTAAAAATATGTAATACACTATATAATTTGCTGTTTTAAAATGTCTAATTCATCTAATTCAGTAATTTTAATATAGCTACAAAGTCAGCCATCACAGTCATTTTTATCCTCTACTTCATTTATTTTATTATTTTTTATACTCCAGACTAATTGCAGTAAAATTAAAAAAATTACTTTTCTTTTTATTCCTTTTTCCTGACTTTCAAGGATATATATATATAATGTATATTATATATAACATTGTTTTAATCATGTTATATTTCTTTTGTAACTTTATGCTTTCAAGAGGTAAAGAGGAGAAGGGCAAGTGTATATTTAATGTTTATTATAAGCAAGTTATTATTTATAATTTCTAGTATTTAAAATACTATTTTCTTTGGATCTGAGTTATTGTCTATTGTAATTTCCTTACTGTAGTACATCATTGCTATCATCTATCTCCTTTGTGGTACTATCAAATTAATTTCACATGTATACAATATGGATCCAATAATACAACTATGCATATTGTACTATAAAATTTCATTTTAGATTTATTAAAAGAAAATATTCATTTGTACAATTTTTGCAATACCAGAATTACTTTACCTATACTTATGAATGTGTGGATTCAAGTGACTGTGAGAACGCCTTGCTCACTGGAGCATTTTTCAACATTTCTTTAAAAAATTTTATTAGCATTTTTTTGCAATATATAATACTTACTTTCCTTTTTGGGATTTGGTACATATATATCATTATTCTGATCACGTTCAATCTTCTTTCTTCCTTGACCTTCTGATCTCCTTCACCACTGAGTATTTCTTATAAAGTGGATGGACAATAACAAATTCTCTACATTTTTATTTACTTTCGATTTTCCTTAGGTGAATTTCATTTTTAAAGCTAATTTTCCTGGACATAAGATTCACAGTTGACAGCTCTCTCTTGTAGCACTTTGATATGCCACACCATTATCCTGTGGTCTCTATAGTTTCTGATGCTATGTTACCTGTTATGCTTGCCAGAGTTTCCTTTTATGGCATTAGGAGCTTTTCTCTAGCTGCTTTCAGATTTCCTTTATGTCTTTCAGTATTTTGCTCTGTTGATCAGACTGTGGGTTTCACTGGGGTTATACTACTTGGATTTAACTTAGCTACAATAAGTATCAAACACTTAAAAAAAAATTCAGCCAAACGTTTTTCTTCAACATTTTTTCTGCTTCTTTTCTTGCATCTGTCCTGCTGGTACTTTCATTTAAGTTTGCAGATTTATATCTTCTTTCTCTTAAAGTTTATTCTCGAGCCTCTCTAGTGAATTATTCCTTACTACCAACTGTAGAATCTCTTTTTTTAAAGAAAAATATTCTTTGTTCATGTTGGTTAAAATATCGGCATCATAACCTCCTTTTACATTCAAGCATACTTTCATTAATTTTCTTAAATATTCATAATAATTACTTTAGTTAGACAGATAAAAAATTTGGGATCTTCATAAAAAGCATTTGGCTTTCTTTCCTTGTGTGTGGGTCACAACTTGTGGTTATTTTGCACATCTCCTAACATTTCACTAAAACTGGACTTTTAGGTAACATAGTGTAGCAAATCTACATGCTGATTTCTTCCTTCTCCTTTAGAGGATTTCTCATTGTTGTGTGTATTTAATTAAGGTATTTTCTGACTATTTACTGTTTTACTCAATCTTCTTGTTCTGCAGTATGAAGCTTTGATGTTATTCTGCTGCGAGCACAGCTTTGGTCATGCACACAGTTACTTTTGGATGAAAGGTATATTATCGTGGTCTAGTTGCCTTTTTCCCACATGCTCTGTTCAACTCTCTGTTTTGGTGACTGATCAAAACTCAAGCAGTGCATCAGTGTTTCAGGAAAGAAGACACTTGTGTAATCTTTGAACCATATAACAAAACCAAAGAAATTTATTGCAGCTAATACTTATATACATATGCATTTTCCCTACCTTGTAACATATAAAGGGAATGTTTATCCAATGAAGTAATTTTTTATGTTCCACTTTTATCATATTCATAAGTTAGCATTTCTGCTTTTGTAAATGCAAAGTAACTTCTCAAAGTAGCCAGAAATAAAAAGTAATTTAAGTAATACTTGAAATATTTTTACAAATATATTCTATTAGATTTTTATGAATCACTTTTAAAATAGAACAATTCTAAAAGTAAGAGTGTCTTATTTTCCTTTGGGAGTAACTACCATAGTTCAAGTATTTATAAAGGAAATTCATGAAGATATTTTGTCATATAATAGTAACAGAGAGGTATTTTTGTCATTAACAACTAAACAGTTTACCTTGAGTATCACTTGGGCAGTTGATTATTGTATTGGATAAATTGGATAAAACTGTCATTTTTATATTTCCTTTTATATTATCTTATAAAATTTAATGAAAAACTATGCAATTTTTGGCCATCCTGTATTTAAATAACTGAACTGGTAAGTGGTTAAATATCCATATTTAATTAAACTCCAGAGAAGATGAATAAACCATAAGTAAATTTAAAAATTATTCTTCTTACCAAAGTAATTTTTTGATTGTGTCTGAATTTCATCCTTTATTAAACCTTGTCCAATTGTATCCTTTAGGTGTTCTATTTCAGTCTCTAGAAAACATACTTCAAATTAATTTTTAAGGTAGGTATTAACATATGCATATATATATACTTAGTATTACCTTTATTTGCATTTTAATTAGAAAAATCACAATTAAAAGTCCATATTAAAGTAAGGTGAGGATACAAATTTGAAAGAACTGTTACCAATTGTATAAACTTCTTTTTTTTTTTTTTTTTTTTTTTTTTTGGTTTTTCTCCGGTACCAGGAACCGAACTCACGACCTTGTGCTTGCTAGGCAGGCGCTTTGCTGCTGAGCTAAATCCCCAGCCCCTGTATAAACTTCTTTATATTGGTATATAGAGATGTTCAGTACTTTGTCCAAGATCATATATATATATATATATATATATCAAACAATGATATTGATATGCAGGGTGATGCTCCATAACTCCTTAACTAGTATTTTTCCATACAATACAAATATATGTAATTGACATTATTCTAGATAATTTATGATAATAAAGTATAAGTATACATTAACATATAGTAAGATTGTAGGGATATATTTGGTGAGATGTATATTTAGAGTATAACATGTTTTAGGTCAAGTTGCAAACAATGGTCATCACAACTTATAGACTATTATTATAAAACGGAAATTGCAAGCCAAGTACAATGATGCATATCTGTAATCCCAGTATTCTGGGAGGCTGGAGGAGGACAGAAAATTCAAGCTCAGCTAAAAAAGGAAATTTAGCGAGACCTTGCGTCAAAAAATAATAAGAAAAGGCTGGTGATGTAGCTCATTGTAAAGGCAAATACATTCACGGTCTTTTTAAATGCAACTATAAGTCAAATAAGCATCAGTGATAGAAAAGAAGCAAGTAATCCATTATGGTTTTGATTTGCAATAATGTCCCCTGAGAGTCTCATATGTGGAGGTAGACCCTGTTCATAAGGAGCAGGTCACAGGAGGTAGGACTTGGAAGGGTATATTCTTTTCCCTTGTTCCTCATTTCTTTGATTCATGCAGTAAACAGTTTTTCTCCACCAGGCCCTTCTATTATGACATTTTTGCCTTGGAGCCAGCTGACCACAGATTGAAATGAGCCAAAATAAACCCCTCCTCCTTCAGGTTGTGGGTGTTATTATTTTGTCTTAGTGACAGCAAAGTTGACTAGTACAAAAATTGGCACCAGGAGTGGGGTTGTTGCTGTAATTGTACCTAACTGCTTTATATTTTGTTTATCACAAGAGTTTGGAGAAATGGACTATAATGTCCTAGACTGATGTAAACAGAGATTGATGAGAGATTCTGGTTAGAACTCAGAAGACTGGAATCCTGATAAAAATGTGAGCAGTACAGGTCAGGCTCAGGAGGTTTTAGTCGGAAAGAAGGACTACATAGGAAGTTGGACTACAGGCTGTATGTGTTATTCTCTGGTAGAAAACTTATCTATACTTTGCTCAGATCCTGAAACTTTGAGGAAGACTGAGATTTATAGTAACTAACTCATTAATCTGGTGGAAAAAATTTCAAGGAAACCCAATATTCAGAATGTGTGACATGGGTACTTCTGGCTATTTTTAGTGAGATCTATAATGACAATCAGGAACAAAAGGAAGTGCTGAACATTTGAAAAATTTGCTGTTTCTTCAAAAAGGGAGGAGCACTTACAACTTTGGGGCAAAGGATGGAATAGTGCTAAAAAGATTTTAATTAATGAAAAACCAGGTACTTCATACTGAGGACATTTCAAAAATCAGCAAAGCCCTAATCATTACAGGTTCAAGGTTGCAAAAGCTAAATCTTTTATCTGAGAAGAAAATTGCTTGGACACGTGCTTATTCAGGGCAACCTAGGAATGTATATCTTAGCGTTCAGACATCTGGGTACTCAGAGGATTCTCCAGTTGTGGTTCTGGGGGGTTGATTACTGTTGAAGCTGGCAGCTGACCCTGGCATTACCCACGTGGTGCTGCTTTTTCAGGCATGTAAAATACAAGAATTATGAAGCCATGGAAAATCATGAAGTCACGGAAGGTTCCACTCAAATTTTTAAAAACAGCCTGGATGCCCAGGTAAAAATACTGACAAGGTCACAGTCCCTGCCAGGAGTCCAGGAAAGGGCATTACATGAAGCTGACAGAGTGAACCCAAAGGGTCTTCACTAGACCCCAGAAAGCTGGAGATGCCAAAACTGTGGAATGTCTGCTAAAAAAAGCTGCAGGCAGTGAGAGGAGTCAACACAAGCTAGAGGCCATATGGGCTCTAACCAAGGGTGTGGGTGTGGTTTTTCAAGTCCTTTTTGGTTCACATCTCACCACAACCTCACCTGGCTGATGAACATCCTGTGACAGGATTTAAAATTTGCCCTGCTTGGTTTTAGTCATGCCTTATCTGATTTCTGTCTACTCCCTTATTCCTCTCTCTCAATAAGCCTTTCCTCCTCTTAAAAAAAATCTTTAGAAAAAAATTTCACTTTTATTGAATATGTATAGTCTTTTCTCATCAATACTCCCTAAACAATATAGTACAATAAAGTTTTACATTTTATTAGGTATGTTAAGTAATCTAGAGATAATTTAAAGTATACAAGAGAATGTGTATAGGTTATATGCAAATATTATTGCACTTTATCTGAAGGACTTTAGCACCTGTGGATTTTTTACACAAGAATAGTCCTGAAGCCAGTCTCTCAAGGATGCCAAGCGATGACCATACATGTCAGTCAAACTGAGGATCTATTTCACACATACTAATTGAATTTCTGATGAGATATAAAAACATTGCTCCTATAAATACGGCTTTATCTCCATTTTCCAATTTTTATATCATTGTTATACATCATGCCTTAAATATTAAAACATTATAGTAATTTTATAATAATTTCCTTATGTAATTTTATCCTTTTAAAATAAATCTGAGAAAAGAAAGATCAAATATATATTTATAGTTTTTGTCGTATTAACCTTCTTTGTAGTTGTTGGTTCTTTTTTTACTTTCCTGTGCATTTGGGTTACTATACAGTATCATTATTTTTAGGGCAATATATTTCATTTTCTACTCCTCACTTTTGTACTATTATTGTGAAATGTATTTTACATGATTGACAGTATAATTAAATTATATAATCATATTTATAAAATCAACTTATAAATCATTTGAAGGAAGAAATGAAATTAAACGTACATTTATAGTCTTTTTTGAATTACAAAATTTTAAAACCTGTGATTTTTTTGTGGGTGATTTAAATTATTGTCAGAGGTCAATTTCCATTAGCCTAAAGAAATATTCATATATTTTTGAGGAAAGTTCTGCTAGAAATGAAATATCTCAATTGTTATTTACTTAGCAGCCCCTCTCACATTTCTTTTTGAAAGATACTTTTGCTAGATGCTGGATTTGCTAGAGTTCTTATTTGGCAGTTTTTCCCCCTAGCACTTTGTATATGTGCTGCCGAAGTGGGCACCCCGCTAGCACTTTGAATGTCATTACACTGCCTTCTTGACTTCACAGTCTTCTTTGCAGGTACAGGGGTTCAAACTCTGAGTTTTGCATATGCCAGGAGAGTTCTCAACCCCTGAGTTGTAAGTCAGCTGTATAGTTTTTGATGCTAAGTCAGCAGACAATTTTATTGAGATTTACTTTTACATTCTGGAACATTTTTCTTTTATTGCTGTGTTTTTCTTTTTGTCCTTCAACATTTTTACTATGATAAATCTGGTTATAGATTTGTGTTTTTCTACATGGGTTTCATTGAGCTTAGGCACATTGACTCATATTATTAATCAAATATTTTCAAAGTATTCAGCCATATGTCTGTCATCTTTATTTCTTCTAACCCATTCTCTCTCTACTCTCTTTCTAATATTCCTATTGACTTAAATTTGCTGGTTCTTTCACCTGATAGTTAAAGTACTGTGTGAATTTTCCTTAAAGTTTATATTTCATTCTTTTTAAAAATTAGTTTCCATCACAATGCTGATATTATGTACTTTATAAGATACTGTCTTTATACTTTCCTTTTTTCCTTTAACTGTTTCCTTTAATTCTATGAATATATTTATAATAAATGTTTTGCTTTCATTTTATGTAGAATTCTCATTACCAGTTTTTGACTTTTTCTTCTGTTTGGTCCACAATTTCTATTTATATTTCTCTCTTTTTCTCTGTCTCTGTCTCTCTCATTGCTGATGATGTATAGTAGCAAATTTGGATACTGACATACTCTTTCCCTTTTCTGCACTTGTTTTTATTTGATAATATATGTTTTTAAGTGATTTATGATCAGAAGTGTCTCTAACAAGTCAACTCTAAGGCTAAATTCAGTTGTATGATCTCTGAAAAATATAACTAAAGGACTTTATTGCAGTTTGCCTGACATTTTCATCATATGGAGGGAACTAATGACCAAAGAAATAACTGTGTTAAACTGGTTTTCTTGTCAGATCTATTAGCTGGCCTTTCTGCTTTAGCAAATTCAAAAGAGAAATTTCTGTATAATCCTGAAACTGAATAGAACAGCATTGGATATACTGTATATCTACAAAGCACATTCTAAGGTTAGTTTATCATTGTTCTTAATGTTTTATATTCTAAGTGAGTGAATTAAAAAATTATATCCAGAGTTAACTATACACTGATAGTATAACTAGAACTACTTATTGGGGGAACTGATAAAGACTTTACTCATATAACTGTAATTTATAAGTACTACTCCCATTGATACCTATAATTAGTTAACTCTTAAGAAGATAAATTAACTAGAAATATTATAATATAATATTCTTGTTCTTACCAGGGTGATTCTTCAGTTGTGACTTGAATTCACTTTTTAATTTATCTCTTTCAGCTTCATGTGTAAATTGATCTATACCTGTTTCTATACAAATAAACAGAACAAAACACTGTATGTAACTATTTATATACTAGATTATGTGTATAGTAGTAAGTTAAAACATTTGTGTTTATAGAATAAGAGAATAAAAAGTCTGTATTGGACAGTAACACAGTCTTAGAATGGAAAAACAGTTAGCATGTATATAAGTCATATTATATGGATGCTTAGATATGTTTACTTAGTTGAATAAGAGTATATATTTACTGAAAAGAAAAACTGAAGAGTACCTAGGTGCCATATCACTTTCTTCTGGTGACTTTTCTATAGAATGCTCCCATATAAATTAAAATCATCCTGGATACATGATAATTATGTAACTTTTAAATTTATTTGAAGAACATATTAATTCTATAGTATGTTCCTGCTGAGCTAGAATAACTTTTTTCCATACATCAAGCTTCAAACTAAGGTCTTACTAGTCACAAGAATATATTATAATGGAGAAATTCTTTGATTCATTCAGGAATATTTTCATTCCCATTTAGGACACAAAACTGTAAATCATGTATGCACCACTGATGAAAAGAACAAATATTTGTTGGACTGAGAAAAAGTGCCCTCTGAGGTCCATTCAGCGTGTAGCAAAAGGAAATGGTTACATTTGCAAAATTATCAGGCTTGAGATTGGAGCCTTTTCCATTTCCATCATTATGCAATTTTATCTTTTTGTTGAAATTAGAACCTTAACCTGGTTCAAAGACATAGAAAAAAAAGTTGCCTGTAACTCTATGATGTTCTCTTTCTCTCTCCTCTCTCTCTCTCTGTGTCTCTGTCTCTGTCTCTCTCTCTCTGTACTGGGAATTGAATGCAGGACCTTGCACTTGCCAGGCAAGCACTGTGCCACTGAACTATGCCCCAGCCCTGATGTTCTCACCATGACAAAATCATGCATTTCTCAGAATGCATCGCAGCTGTGAAGTGATGCATGACTATATTTATAGCATTTATTATATTAATCTTATTCATAATTTTTAGTTATATTCATTGTTCTTATGGATTTTTTTATTTTAAAGAGAAAAAACAACAAAATAGCAACAACAAAGACAAAAACAAAACAACATGAAAACAATAGAAATGATTTTTATGGTTGATACATTGTGTCAACTTGGGGAGTCTAGAGGTTTCACTAAGTGACTCAGCAGTTCTGCATCTTACCCTTACCCTTCTGGGATGTTGCTCATTGTATCAATTTGAGAAGTTTAGGAAGTTAACTGTGACTCAGTAGGGAGCCAGGGTGCTTACTTTGTATTCATACTGAGTCTGGGCAAGAGAAAGGCATGCAGAGAGTGTGGGTATGGAGGACAACCTCCACACCCACAGGGCACGTAGGCTGCATAAAAAAAGGGAACTGAGAAAGGACTAGTGGCTGGTTCTTTGGAGGAGCTCCAGTCTTCTTCTTCAGCTTGGTCATCTCCTAGCTTCTAGTGCAGACTGTTTGGCTTCTGCCTGGGGAGTAGGCTTTCTGGCTTAAATCGTAGATTCTTCAGCATTTCATTGCAGAATCATCAGCCTGCTGATACGGACTTGCACGGACACTGCAGTGAGCTCCAGGCCCGGGGCTGGGCTCTTCAATCTCCAGCGTGCAGACACCCTCTGCTTGCTTCCTCATCCAACTCTGTGGCTAACCATTGTAAGCCAAACTTATAATTTCTTGTACATTTGTGTATCTGGTGTTATACCTGTTTCTCTAGTTAACCCTGACTGCTAAAATGATACAGGATTTCAAAACAAGATGATAAATAACAATGGTTGTTATATTACATATTGTTATCTTCAACAAAATTGCTCAGATTACCAGATGTAAGAATGCAAGATTAATCAAACAATTAAAGATAATAAAAGGTGCTAAGAAAAAAAATCAGAAATGATGTAGAGCTTCACTAAACAAGATGGTAGGAATTCAACTGCATAGTTGTTATACTGCATATTTTTGTCTTCAAATAAGTTGTTCAGATTACCAGATATAAGCATGCAAAATTGGTCAAGAAAAAAAAAAAGCATTAAATGTTCCTTTCAATAAACCCATAGACATCAACAGTACAATTATCCCAGTTATCCTAGTATATACATATATATTTTTCTTCCTTCTTTTATTCTTTTCTCCTTTCCCTGATCCCAGTTGTTACTTCCTTTTGAGCAATTTCCTTCCTGTTCACAATGTCTATTGTACCTTTTGGATTTTATTTATTCTTTTAGGTTCTTACACTAGGGAGACAATATAATGTTTACACATGTGGGTCTGATTTATTTCACTTATAATTATGGTCTCTAGTTGCATTTATTTACCTACAAAAGCCTTAAGTTCATCTTTTTTATAGCTGAGTAATACTCGATTACATAAAAATACTACATCTTTTTTATCCATTCCTCCATTGGTGTGCATTTGGGTTGCTTCCAAGATTTAGCTATGACAAATTGTGCTGCTATAAATATGGGTGCACATACATTGCTGTGGCATGATGTTTTCAGTTCTTCTAAAAAAATACCCAGAAGGAGAATAGCTAGTTTAAGTGGGACCTCCAATCCCAGTTTTGGAATGAATCTCCACACTGATTTCCACAGTGGTTTCACCAGTCTATACTCCCACAATAGTGCAGAAGGGTTCCTTTTTCCCCACAGCCCCTCCAGCACTTGTTATGGGTTGATTTCTTGATGATAGCCATTCTTTCTGGGGTGAGATGGAATCTCAGAGTTACTTTAATTTGCATTTCTCAAATGACCAATGATGTTGAACATTTTTTCAAGTATTTATTTTCCATTTTTATTTTTTATCTGAGAAGTGTGCATTCATCTCAGATGCCCATTTTTGGATTGGGTCTTTGAATTTGGGGGGCCTGATTTTTTTTACTTCTTTATATGTTCTATATATAAGTTCTTTGAGGGACAGTTGGCTGAAGTTTTTTCCAAATTCATGGGCTTTTTTACTCTGTTGGTGATTTCCTTTGATGTGCAAAAACTTTTCAATAAGATGAGATCCCAGGTGTTGATTCTTTGAAGAATTTCTCATGAAATTTGGGTTTTCTTCATGAACTCTCTGCCTACCCCTATGTCTTTAAGATTTCTACCTACTTTCTCTTCCAGTAGATTTAGTGTTTGTGTTTTAATACTTAGATCTTTGATCCATTTTGATTTTAGTTTAGTGCATGGTGATGGACATGGGTCTAGTTTTAGTCTTTGGTGTGTTGGCAAGCCAGTTTTTCCAGCACTGTTTATTAAAGAGGCTATCTTTCTTCCAGTGAACATGTTTGGCCGTTTTGTCAACGATAAGGTGGCCGAGTGTGTTTGTAGTTGTGTCTGAATCTTCTAAATCTGTTCCATTCATCCTCAGGTCTGTTATTTTTTCGCCAGTATCATGCTGATTTTATCACAGTGGTTTCGTACTATAATTTCAAGTCAAGGATTGCGATACCTTCTGCCTTACCTTTGTTGTCCAGGATTACTTTTTGCTATTCTAGGTCCTCTTCTGGTTCCAAATGAATTCTAGGAAAGTTTTCTCTAGATCTGTGAGGTATACTAGTGCTGTTTTAATTGGGATTGAATCTGTTCAATAATTTTGGGAGTATGGCCATTTTCACAATGTTGGTTTCCTACTCATGAGCAAGGAATATCTTTCCATTTTCTGAAATCCTCTTTGATCTCTTTTTCAGAGTACTGTAATTGTCAATGTATAGATCTTTTACTTCCTTTGTTAGACTGATTCCTAAGTATTTCATTTTTTGTTTGCCATTGTGAAAAGTGTGGTTTCCCTAATTTCTCTCTCAGTGTGTTTGTTCATTGTGTATAGGAATGCTATTGATTTTTGAGTGCTCACTTGGTATCCAGCTATGCTACTGATGTCTTTTGGTGGAGTTTTTGGGGTCTTCTATGTAGAGTGCCATGTCATCTGCAAATAACGATAATTTCATTTCTTTCTTTCTTACCCTTATTCCTTTTATTTCTCTCTCTTGTCTAATTTCTCTGGCTAGTATTTGCAGAACTATATTGAAATGGAGTGGTGACAGTGGACATCCATGTCTTGTTCCTGATTTTACAGTGAAAGCTTTCAGTTTTTGTCCATTTAGTATGACGTTGCCTGTTGGTTTGTCATAGATGACTTTTCAGAATGAGGGAAAGACCATCTATTCTGATTTTCTGTAGGGTTTTTGTTATGAATGAGTGACAGACTTTATCAAAAACTTTTCCGCATCTATTGAGGTGATCATGTGATTTTTGTCTTTGGCTCTACTGATATGGTGCATTATATTAATTTATTTGTGTATACTGAACCATCCCTGCATTCCTGGGATGAATCCTACTTGGTCATAATGTATAACCTTCTGGATGATTTGCTGTATTTTGTTTGCCAGTATTTTCTTGAGAATTTTTGCATCTATGTTCATTAGGGAGATTAGCCTATAGTTCTCTTTTTTGCCTGGATCTTTCTCTGGTTTTGGAATCAGGGTAATATTTGCCTCCAGGAATGAGTTAGGGAGAATTCCTTACCTTTCAAATTCAGAAAATAGTTTGAGAAGAATTGGCATTAATCTTCTCTAAATTTCTCATAAAATTCAGCTGTGGAACCATCAGGATTTGGGTTTTTGTTTGCTGGTAAGGTTTGTTTTTTATTACATTTTCAATTTTGTAGGCTTATATGGAGTTTTTCAGTATTTTTATATCTTCTTGATGCAGCTTTGATAATTCATATGTATTTAGAAATCTCTCTATTTCCTCCATGTTTTCCATCCTATGAGAGTAATGATTTTTGAAGCAGGTATTGATAATCCTTTGAATTTCTACAGGATCTAAAATGATTTCACTCTTTTTATTCCTTATTACATGAATTTGAGTTTTTTTTTCCCTTTTTTTGATAAGTTTGGCTAGGGAATTATCATATTTATTTATTCTTTTGAAGAACCAACTCTTTGATTCATTAATTCTTTGTATTGTTTTCTTATTCTCCATTGTGCTAATTTCTCCTCTGATCTTTGTAATGTCCTGCCTTCTTTGAGCTTTGGACTTGACTTTTGCTAGAAGCTTCAAGTGCAGCATGAGGTTATTTGTGCTTGTTCTGTTTTCTTGATGTGGGAATTCACCACTATAAACTTCCCTCTGAGGACTGCTTTTATTGCATCCCTCAGGTTCCACTGAGTTGTATCTGCATTTTCACTTGATTGTAAATATTGTTTAATTTCATCTGTCATCCACTGGTTGTTCAGGTGGGTGTTATTTAGTTTCCATGTGCTTATGGAGTTTTTATGATTTCTTTTGTCAATAATTTTCAGTTTTATTGCACTGTGGTCTGATAGCATGCATAGGATAATTTCTATTCCTTTGCATTTACTTAAGCATGTTCCATGGATTAGTATATGGTTTATTTGACAAACCATGTCATGTGCAGCTGAAAAGAATGTATTCTGATCCTGTTGGGTGCAACACTGTAAAAATCTACTAAGTCCACTTGTTCATAAGTTTGGTTTACTTCTATTATTTCTTAATTGATTTTTTTTTGTCTAATTGATCTATCCCTTTGTGACAAGGGGGTGTTAAAGTCCTCTGTTATGATTGTGTTTGTACTTCTCTGATTTTTCATGACTTTTAAAATTTGTCTTATATAGTTTGATGTTTCTGTATTTGTGCATAGATATTTATGATTGTTATCTCCTCCTCTTTCAGTTTTCCCCTACAAGTGTATAGTGACCATCTTTATCTCTTTTGATCATTCTTAGTTTGAAGTTCACATTGTCTGCAAAGAGAATAGCTACTCCTGTTTTTTTTCTGTTTCCTATTGTATTGAGTATTATTTTCCACCCTTTCACTTTCAGTCTATGAATGTTCTTTTGAGTCAAATGTGTTTCTTGTATACAGCATATTGTTGGATTTTGTTTCTTGATCCAGTCTACCAGTCTGCTTCTTTTGATAGGTGAACTGATGCCATTTATATTGTTATAACTGATATGTATTGGCTTATCTTTGCCATGTTATTTTCCTGTTGTTGGTTTCTCACTGTTTGATTCCCTGCTTTGCTTGGTGGTTCCTTTCTACTGTTGTTCTTGGAATTGTGCTAATTTTTTATCTCTTTCTAGAATATTTTGCAGTATTCTTTGTAGGGTTGGTTTGGCACTCATGAATTTCTTCAGTTGTTCTTTGTCATGGAAATATTTTATTTCTCCATTAATTCTGAAGGACAGCTTTGAATGGAACGTTAATCTATGTTGGAAGTTGTTTTCCTTTAGGACCTGGAATACTTCACTCAAAGTTCTTCTTGACTTGATGGTTTGTGTTGAGAAATCTGCTTTGATTCTTATGGGCTTTCCTTTATATGTGATCTGTTTCTTTTCTCTAACAGCTTTTAATATTCTGTTCTTTTGCTGAATTTCTCGGATCTTGATCAGTATATGTTTGGGCATAGATTTATTTTGATTATGGGTAATTGGAATTCTATATGCCTCACTTACCTGTATGTCAGATTATTTTTCCATCCTCAGGACATTTTCTGCTATTATTTCTGCAAATAGTCTTTTTATTTTATTTATGTTGACTCCTGTTTCATTGATACCTGTTAGTCTTGTTTTTCTTCACATCATCTTACAGCTGTTGAATTGCTATTTCCTGGTTCCTTGTTATTTTTCAGAGGTCTTTGCTTTCACGATCATTAGCAGCAATGCTCTTTAAGGTTTCAAAGCCTATCTTCAGCCTCCTTCAAGTGGTTTTGCTACCTTTTGATGGAATTTTTAATTTCCTAGGTATCTTTTTGAATCTGTTTCATGCATTCTAATTCTTTCCTATATTGTTCATTCAATGTTTCCATCATTTTCTATGCTCCTCTATTTTTTATCTTTCTTCTTTAGATGTGCTGAGTGATTCTTTCATTATTGTTGTCATTTTTTTTTTAACCTAAGAGATTATTTGTGATCTGGTTTCTTCCACAGCCGTATGGAGTTGTTTCTTTACTTCATTTGGTATCATTTCAGAAATTTCAGGTGCATGACTTCCATGTCAACGTCTCCTGGACTTGTTCTGGGTGTGGTGGAGGTCTGAGATTGCATTTTGCCTTTTTTAAAGATCCTAAGGTTCCCTGGGGCTCAGTATGACTCCCACAATGAGGAGAGGGGTTGTGGTGAGGTTCTCAAAGTTCCCCAGGACCCAGTGTGTCTCCCTCAATGGTGTGGGGGTGTGAAGTGTAGTCCCCGAGGCTCCTGAAGCTGTCTGGGTCTCCATGTGGCTCTTGCTACAGTGGGAGGAGTGAGGAGTGGCTCACCAAGGCTCCTGTGTCTGTCTGAGCTCAACATAGTTCCTGTGCCAGTGTGGTGGGATTAGTGCACCATCACTGAGGCTCCTGAAGCTTCTCTGGGTTGTGTGGCTTCTGCCCCACTGGGAGGTTGGCAGAGTGCAATCTGTTCTAGTGGATTATTACCTTATTATTTTCTTACTTCAGTGCATCACTTCCCACCATCACAATTGGTGTTAGTGTAGATTGCAGTGCATGACTGTACTTCAAAGATACAACAATATAATTATATAAATATTATTCTATATAATTGACATTAAAGTGAATTAAGAGAAAGGAGTTGAAATTTGCTTTGTATCACCTTTCAGAATTACAGACTTCCTTCAACCCATGCCCAAGCACTACTGAATGATAATAGGTTTACAGGGTTTCTCTTTCAATGTATCCTTCCTTTATTTGTCTGTTAAACTGTCTGCATCAGACAGAGATCAAGGAATGGCTTGCCTAACGTTCGACTAAAGATAGCAGTATAGTATCTGAACCAAACCAACAGAACTAAAGGACTCTGTATCTGTAATGCTATTACTATGTCTAACATTTAAAGGAATAGTTGATGCTTAATTTTTTCTTGACCAATCTTGCATGCTTATATCTGGTAATCTGAACAACTAATTTGACAACAACAATATGTAATATCACAACCATTGATGAATTCCTACCATCTTGTTTAGTGAAGCTCTGTATTGTTTCTAATTTTTTTTACTACTTTTTATTGTCTTTAATTGTTTGATCAATCTTGCATTCTTACATCTAGTAATCTGAGCAACTTCATTGAAGATAACAATGTGTAATATAACAACATTGTTAATTCCTATCATCTTGTCTTGAAATCTTGTATCATAATTTTTGTGTGTTGTTTTCATCTTCACTGTTGTTATTTTGTTGTTTTTTTCTTCCTAAAATAAAAAGTAACCAAAGAACTGATAGCTATTGAAGCAACTTATTTTCCACTTTGTATCACACCTATCAGCCAGCTGTTTTAATTTTGCGGATTCAAAGCAACTAAAATAGCAACAGATATAGTTGCCTGACTAATATTCTAAACTCACTATATCATTTGATTTTTTTGTATTGCTTGCTAAATGAGTGAATTCTAAAAGCAATGATATCAAGCTAATTTTATGTTTCTAAGAAATACTACCATACAATTATAGCATGGAACTTATGAGGCTTTTTGCCCATTCCATAGTAACATAGGTAATGTTGTAATTAAAGATACATATTAATTAAACTCCAAAGGTGAATAAATATTAAACTTCAAAATTTTTTCTTACCAGGAAGAGATGGTGAGAGTGTCTTAAACTCATCCTTCTGTAAGTGTTGTCCAAAAGCATCTCTTAACTGTTCTAGATCAGTTTCTATAGAAATAAACAAAGTAAAAACAAGTAAGGTAATCCTAATGTAAGAATATGATGGGTGTGTGTGTGTGTGTGTGTGTGTGTGTGTGTGTATGTTTGAAAGAGAGAGCAAAAGTGTGGGAGAAAGATAGAGAGACAAAGCAAGAGAGAGAAAGAATTAACTAACATTTTTAATTGATGATTAAATGTTATGATGATTTTTTTGGATTTCCAAATCACAAAACATTGGAACTGGAAGATCTGTTGGCAACCATATGTGCCTCAGTGCATTAAGTCTTAAAATGTTTAGCAATTTGAGTAAGACCTCATATCTAGATAATAATAAAATTGTTACATAAACTGATGCCTCATAATTCTTTCGCCAATGATATTGGCATACAATGAAATGCAAAATGAAAATAACCTACATAGTTTATGATAATAACATGAACTTCAAGTTTACATTACTTCACGCTGAAATTGTAGGGATATACCTGGTGAGGTGAAACACACCCTTCCCTCCAAGTTGACATGGAAAGCATGGACTCTATTGTCACAGAAAATTACTGTGCAGCAGAAATGCTTTGACTCACTCAAGAATACTTTAATGCCATTTTTAGGTAATTTAACTTTAAAATGAGTAGCCATCAATGACAGAAAATAGTAAGATGTTATGTGGACTGAGGATGAAGTAGTCTTGGGTTTCTCCTGCATTTATATCTGCTAGTGTTGAGGAGATGTGCTTAAGTTTGCAAAAGTATCAGGAGTGAGCCTGGATTTTGTTCCATTTGAATTTTTATGTTATTGAAAATTTTGTTGTATTTAGAAACCACAAACTAGGTCCAATAAAAAAAAAATCATTAAAAGGAAATTTATATTGAAAATCCAGTAATATTAATTGGTGATCTAAAGCCAATTACTGGGACTGAAGTTTTGCAGGTGAAATCTAGTTCTAGCAGTATATGTGCCTGCTGGAAACCTGTGAGAGATACCATAAATTGAATTCTGCTTGCCTCCCTCCCTCCCTCTTTTCCTCCCTCTCTTCTTTCCTTCCTGCCTTCCTGCCTTCCCACCTTCACTCCTTCCTTCATTTCACTTTCCCCCCTTTTCTCTTTTCCCAACTCTCTCTCCCCTCCCTGAGTCCATAAGTAAATGTTGCAGACTGCATTATAACTTTGACCTTGAAAGCAGAACTGTACCAGCACTGCAATATGCAGAGGTAGGGACTAGTCGAGGCTTCATTACTGAATGACATACATCAGACTAGAAAGAACAAATTTTTAGCATGTAAACAACAATACTTTGTGAAAGTAATAGGATCTTAGCAGTGTAAAAGTGGGTAACATCAACAGGCACATTTTAGCTTCACTGGTTCTTTCTCCAATTAGAACATGCAAGAAGGAACATGTAAGACAGTGACAGAGAGAGAGGGGGGCTCAGCACCAGGTTAAGCACAGTGTTTGTGCTGGAGAACTGTATCTGATGAGTCACAATTTTCCAACTTCACTATATCTTCTTGGCATTAGTTCTTTTTAAAAAATGCTTTCCAGATACAGTTTCACTGAGCTATTTATAAAATAACATTTTATACAATTTGCCAATTTAAAGCATCGAACTACTTGACTTTTTAACATATTAATGGGGTTGTGTTATAACCCCATTAAATTTTAGAATTTACATTTGTACTAATTAAATTCCAGAGCAATATGAAAATGTCACTCATATAGTTATATTTCATTGTTTCCATTTATGCTATTGTTATACACAGTACATCTATATTAAAGACATTGTTATAAATTGTTATAATCATCTTTATATAACACTATATCTTTTAATAGAAAATGAGATAAGAAAGAATTTTAAAGTATATGTTGATAGTGTTTATTATAAAATTTTCTTATTTATAAGGATAAAAGGGCATCCACCATTTTTTGTCTTTTCTTTTTTTTTTTTTTT